CAGCCTCCCTGTGGAGTCGGCCTTCTCGCCACGAGCCGGCCGGCCAAGTGTCCTGTCCCCCGCCTCGGGCAGCGGCCAGCCCTCGACCTCGCCCCAGTCTTCGCCCTCGCAGTCCCCGCAGCCGCACTCCTCCTTCGCGTCGAACCATGTGTGCTATATGCATTCCTTCTCGCAGTCGGCCGACCAGTCGACCGAGGACGACACCTCGACCGACGCCAAACCCATCATCCCCTCGCCCTGCGGCGTGTCCTTCCCTTCGTCCTTCGAGGTATGGTGCTGCTGCTGCTGCTGCTGCTGCTGCTGCTGCTGCTCCCCGCCCCGGGCCATATATCACGTCCACGTCCTCTGACCGCGCCCCCTCGTTGTTGTTCCCCTCCCCCCCCCCTTTTTCTGCTGGCCAGCTTTTTCGCCATATGACGCTCCAGCACGACATTTTCCAGCGCGGTCGCGGTGTCAAGGTCTGCTATGTGCGTCCCCCCCCCCCCTCCCCCCTTCCCCCCTTCCTCGATGCTCCCTGCCCCGGCCTCCCGCGCGCCTCTCAGTCTGACCTCACGACCGGTTGTTCCCTGTCCACTCGCAGTGGGTCGAGCCCTCGTCCGGGCTATTGTGCAATGAGAGCTTCGACTCCTTCTACAAGTACGAGTCTCACATGGTCCGGCACCACCACTACAAGCGTTACCAGTGCAATGCCTGTGGTGCGCGCGTCAGCCGTCGCCAGGCCCTGCTCATGCACTTCCGCAAGAAGAACCATCACGGCTCCTGGACCGACCCGGGCCAGGTGACCGACCTGGCCCTTGTGTCCGGTGACACGGCCCTGGCCAATGTCATCGGCAGTGGTGCCTCCACCACCTCCTCGGCCGCGGCTTCCTCCTCGGCGTCCTCCGGCGCCGGCGCCGGCGGCAACCTTGGTTCCTGTATGTTTCGCTGCTCCGTGCCTCGCATCCCGATCTTTCTCCTCTCGCCCCTTTCCCCCTGAAGGCGGTAATGCCAACACAACTCACCCTTCCCTCTTCTCGGCGGGGGGCTCCTGTTGCGCTTCGGCCAGCCGGCACCGCGGCCTTCACGCCTCCGCGCTACCCTGGCGCCATGAAGGCCAACCGGATGATGTCCGCTGCGGCACGCTCATCGCGCAGCATCTCCGTCCCGGTTCCGCCGGGAACGCTGAGCGCCTCGATGCCGGTCAATCACGCGTCGGCGATCTTTGCCTCATTGCTGGCCTCCTCCGCACACCTCAATGCCTCGGGGTCGGGCACTCCTCTGCAGGATCTGCCGCAGGCGGCTGCGGCGGCGGCGGCGGCGGCTGCCGCTGCGGCCGCCACCGACTTCTCCCGAACCGGCATCTCGCCCATGCTCGCCCTACCTACGCAGGGATCGCCGCTGATGAAGAACACTTCCCATCTCCTCGTGCGGCTCCAGCAGCAGGTTCAGAAGCAGGCTCAGCGGCAGCAGGCGCAGCATCAGCAGGCCCAACTGCACCAGCAGAAGGTCCAGCAGCACCTTCAGGCTCAACAGCAGCGGCAACAGCAGCAGCAGCAGCAGCAGCAGCAACAGCAGCAGCAGCAGCAGTCGCAGCAGCAGCAGCAGCAGCAGCAGCAGCAGCACCAGCAGCAGCAGCAGCAGCCGCAGCAGCAGCAGCAGCAGCAGCAGCAGCAACAGCAGCAGCAGCAGCAGCAACAGCAGCAGCAGCAACTTCTAATGCAGCAGCAGCAGCAGCTTCTCCTTCAGCAACTTGCTCAGCAGCAACAGCAACAGCAACAGCAGCAGCAACAGCAACAGCAACAGCAACAGCAGCAGCAGCAGCAGCAACAACAACAACAGCAGCAGCAGCAGCAGCTTCAGACCAGCCCGATGGCCGGCACTGCCTTCCATGCATCTCCCTCCCAATCGACCCAGCAGCAGCAGGCCCAGCTCCAGCAGCAGCTCCAGCAGCAGCTCCAGCAGCTCCAGGCCCAGCAGCTTCAGCAGCAGCTCCAGGCCCAGCAGCAGCAGCAGCTCCAAGCCCAGCAGCAGCAGCAGCTCCAAGCCCAGCAGCAGCAGCAGCAGCAGGCCCAGCTCCCGGCGTCCAATGACCGCCACGACTCGGTTGGTCTTGGACAGCATCTATCGATGGACATCCTCTCCACCGCCTCGGCCGCCAATGGCAATCTGCCATCTCTGGCCACCGTGACTCTCCCCCGGCCCGATGTGCATAATTCCTTCCAGCAACATGCCCTGTCAACCGATCTGGGCCAGGGGACCCCCGGGGCGGCCTCGACTGGGCTTCCCGTGTCCAAGACCGGCCTGCCAACCGAGTCTAGCCCTGCATTTGGTACGAATGCCGCCCCTCTTCCACTTCTGCCGTCCCCTGGCTTGGCCCCCCCCCCCCCTCCCCCCCCTCGCCTCCCTCTGCTTTGTTTGCTTTCTTTACTGACTGGCATGCCTGAAACGGCCATGCGCAGGCGGCGGATCCTCGCACCAGGATCTTTCTTCTTCACTCCGGGCGCTGGCCCAGGCCATTGACAGTCACTCGGGCAATACCACCGCCGAGCCGCTGTCGCCGCAGCTGCAGGCCACCCTTCAGGAGATTGTGTCCGCGGCGCTTCGTCTGGGCGTGGGCGACTCCTCCTCGGCCACGGCCAATGGCAACACAAACCTCCTGTCGAGCTTGGTACGGCCTCCCCTCTCTTCCTCCTCCTCCTCCTCCTCCTCCTCCTTCTCCTCCTCCTTCTCCTCCTCCTTCTCCTCCTCCTTCTCCTCCTTCTCCTCCTCTCCAATCCATTTGTCGACATCTGGAGCTGCCCTTCCTCCACCCCTCCCATGCACCCACCCACCATTGAGCCACGCGCCCTCCTGACACTTCCACATGTACTCCACCTCCCCCGCAGCAGCAGCAGCAGCAGCAGCAGCAGCAGCAGGCGGTCCAGCAGCAGCTCAACGACCGTCTTCAAGCTGGAGTCCAGGCACCGGGGACCTTGCCAACGCCGGCCGCGACGGCAACTGATCCCGCTCAGCTGCTGCCCTTTAGCCAACTTCTGCCCTCAATGTCCGGAGGACAGCCCTTTCTAAGTCAGCCCCAGCAGCAGCAGCAGCATGCTCTGTTGCAGCAGGCCGGGCGGGGGCAGGTCGACTCGCTGTCGGCCTTGAAGTCCGGCTTCCTGGCCAACACTCCGTCGGCCACTTTCACCATCAACCAGGGGAGCATCAGCTCCACCGGCACGGGCAATGGTGTCGGTAGCGCCAGCGGCACTGGCGCCGGCAATGGCGGTGGCATGTCTCCCTACACGGGGTCGTCTGGGCTCCTCGGCATGCAGGCTCCTCAGGCGGATCCTCTGTCAGCCACCAAGATGTCCATCGAGTCCCTGGCCCGGGGGATGACGACTGTCCCGCCCGGGCTCGGTCTTGCTATGGGCCCCTCCCTGAACGTCGGCGGCCAGCAGATCCCCCTGGACAGCATCCAGGCGTTGCAACTTCTCCAGCAGGCTCAGCAGCAGGCTCAGCAGCAGGCTCAGCAGCAGGGCAGCCCGGCTCAGGGGGCCTCCTTCGCCGGTCCTGCCACTCGATCGGGTGTCGATCATCGGCCCGGGGCCGGTGTTGTCCTGGCAGCAGGCCTCCCGGTCGAACTGTCGCCATCGGTCCAGCCGTCCCGCATGGTGGTGGACCCCTCGCCGGACCAGTTTTCCTTTGCCACCACCAATGCCAGCGGCTCGGCTCCGGGCCCGGCTACATCCGGCACCGGCGGCGGCAACAGCAACACCCCCACCAATATGAGCATTCGCTCGCAGCTGTCGAGCCTCTCGAACTCCCTCAGCACCGGGACCCTGACGCCGGACAAGTTCCAGGACATCCTCCGGACTCTGGCCCCGGCCTCGACCCCGGCCGGCACTGTCCCCACTCCAGTCGGGTCGTCGCCGGCTCCGGTGCCGGCTTTGCGCGCTGACTCCGCCGGGCCCCCGCACATTGGCGGCCAGCTCATGTTTGGCGCTGCTTCGACCGATGAGTCCCCGGCTGCCGCCCCCCAGCAGCCAGGCACCTCTTCCGCCTCCCCTTCCGGGCAGAATATCCGCAACCTCCAGTATTTGCTGTCGTTGATCTCCAGCCGCGACACCGAGGACGTTGTCATGGCGCAAATGGACAGCCCTTCGGTCGCCACCTCCTCTGCTGGCACCGGTGCGTGTGCCCCTCCCTTCGGCTCTTTTTTCGTCCGGGTGTGTGCCCCATGTTCACTTGCTGACCCTCTGCCTCTCTCCGTCTATCATCACCCTCTCCCCCCCCCCTCTCTCTCTCTCTCTCTCTCTCTCGGGCGAAGTAGCTCCCGGCCGTGCACTTCACTCGGTCCCCGGCCTGTCATCGACGACCATCGACTCGCCGGCGCGCACCGATCCCACCTCCCTGATGACCAGCCCGACGACCATGCTGACAAGCCCCACCGAGGGGGAGGCCGCCTCGCCGGCTCCTCCTTCGCCTCCCCCTTCCGGGCCCGGCTCTGCGACTTCCCTGGCGATGGCGGCGTCTGGACCCGCGACTGATGGCTTGGCGGGGCTGGCCACCGCCTCGGCTTCGGTTTCGGCTTCGGCCTCGGCCTCGGCGACGCTGGACATGTCGGACCCGCTGCAGCTGCTGGTCAGTGGGATTGACCAGTACATCAAGCGCCTCCCCCCGGCGGAGGGGGCCCTCCTGGCGGCGGCCAGTGGCGCCATCACCGGCAGCAAGGACCTGGCTGACCAGCCGCCGGGCAAGGGGGCCTCGCCCGCCGGCAAGGTGCATTCCCTGTCCCCATCGGCGGCGCCTGCGTCGGCCGGGCCGCCGACGCCGGACCTGCAGGCTCGCGGCCCTTCGCCCTCCATGCAGCAGGTTGATGCCCTTTTTCGTCGTCTCCACGGAAGCGGCCCGGGGGCAGGATTAATGGCGACCACCTCGACAGCGACTGAGGCCGGTTCCCCGGTGGCCTCCAGTGACCATCGAGCTGCCTCCGGCGGCGGGGCAGCAGCCGCTCCTGGCAGCTCGGCGGCCCTCCATTCGACCACCTCCCCGCTCGATGGGTTTACTTTTGTCGGCGGATCGTCGCGTGGGTTCTGCCTGACGCCGCCGCAGCTGTCGCCCCTGGCCAGCGGCGGCGGCGGCGGTGGCGGCGGCGGCAGCAGCAGCAGCAGCAGCAGCTCCGTGTCGCCCCGGTCGGGCTTCTTTGCCTCGGCGCCGGCGCCGGGCATGCCAGCGAGTGCCACGATCTCGGCGCCTGCCGCCTCCTGCAATGCGCCCCTGAGTCACCGGCAGGCCAAGATGCAGCGGCATCTCCTGCATCAGCAGCTTCACTCGCGTCGCCCGGTCGAACACCAGGGCGCCGCCATGGCAGCAACCGTGGCACTCGGCCACGCGTCTCCCCCCGCCAAGGAGCTGTCCGGTTCCCTGCCGACGCCGACCCCGGCCGCCGGTGTCTCCATGGCTGCCTCCCCGTCTCGGGCGGCGGGCAGCCTGATGCCCGGTGCCCCGGCGCGTGATGTCGCAGTACTTGCCGTGCCTCCGTGCCCGGGCGAGGCACCGGGCGAGGCACCGGGCATTGCCCCGGCGGTGGTGGCTGTCAGCGCTGTTGCCACCGCCATCGCCACCGCCACCCCTGTCGATGGCGGCGACACCCCCGATGTGCTGGCCGCCTGTCCATCCGTCCTGCCGGGTGGGGCTTCTTCCGATGCCGCTGCCTCGGTGATCACCAGCCCGCCTCACGACGAGGAGGCCCCCGAAAGGATGCCCACCCCCGTCGTCCCCATCACCCGCCATGCCGCCTCGATTGCCACGGCTGCCGCCCCCTCATCGCCGCGGCCGATCGTGCGTTTCCTGCCGGCCGGCCTGCTGGCGGTCAGGTCGACCTTCTCCGGGTCCCTGCGGCCAGCCATCCGGTCTCTTCGCATGGTGTCCTTCCCCCTGAGGCTGCTGGCGGTCATTCATCTGTACTTCCTCAGACGCTTTGGCGCCTCGGTTTCCGGCTCGCTGTTGGCCGATGGGTCCCTGGCCCTGGCCTGTACCTTGCCCTTGCCGCCGTGGGCCCAGTTTTTGGTGTTTTTCACCCTGCTCCTGGAGAGTGTCGGCTCGATCGTCCTCTTCCTGGCTCGGGGTCGGCATGGCATGCCTCGTGCGGCCGTGACCTCGGCCAGCGCCCCGTCGGCGACCCGGCTGCTGGTGGCCCCCGCGGCCTCGGCCTCGGCCTCGGCCTCGGGAGCTGCTCCGTTGGTTGCCCTGCCGCCGCGGCGTCCCTCCCAGTCGTTGGCGGCCGATCCGTCGGCATCGTCCTCCACGATGCTGTCGCCGGCGTCTCAGAAGCCCGCCCCGGCGCGGCTCTTCTTCTTCCCGGCCGAGATCGTCGAATGCCCGATCACCCTTGCCGACAGCTTCTCCTTTCCCCTGCTGGCTCTGGACATCTTCATCTCCCTGCGTTTGACCACGCCGCTGACGTACATCGTCGCCGCCGCCGAGCTCCTCTTTGAGGTGTGCATGGCTCTCTGCCTGTACTTTGCGCAAATCCATCGGGTTCACCGGTCGGCCGTTGCCGCTGCTGATACCACCACCACCACCACCACCACTACCACCACCATCACTCCCGGGGGGAAGGCCGCCGGGGCGGGCCCCGCACCTTCCCTCCTCGCCGCCAACTAGGCAGGCATAAACGAGTGGGTATCTGTGTGTCTGTACATTTCGCCCTCCCCCTCGCGCTCATCCTCGTCCTGCTCCATCCCCTCCCCCCTCCCCCTCTCTCACCACAGCTGCCCGGAGCAAGAGCTCCGGCACGAGAGAGGCCATCTAATGCCGCGCGAATGTCCGCGTCTTTTCTTCCCCCCATTTGATACTTGCTTTCCTTGCAGGGGGCCAGCGGGGTATCTCCCCCCCCCCCCCCCCATACACACACACACACACAGCCCGAGTGTCCTCTCTCCCCTCCTCTCCATGTATCTGTCCACCCTCCACACTTTGTAGTTTTATTTCAATGGAGATCTCCAAAATAAAAAGCAGAAGAGATTCAAGTTCAAGAGTGGGCCCCGGCGCTTCCTTCCTCTTGTTCCCCCTCCTCTTGGCGCATGGGTTCGAGCGAGAAGAGGGCACCCCTGCGAGGGAGGGGTCGCGCGTGCGGCATGTGCCTGTCTGAATGGACCACGGCGGGTTCTCTCTCTCTCTCTCTCTCTCTCTCTCTCTCTCTCTCTCTCTCTCTCTCTCTCTCTGGACATATTTCCTTCACCACGAAATGGGGTTTATTTATTGGGGAAAACATATGTCCCAGCGGGGAGATCTCCGGCTGGTGGCTCGGCCGGCAATCGATGGGGATCTCCGGCGCCGCTGGGTGACCCACTGCCGCCGCTGCTGCCACCGCCAGCCCCCGGGGCTGAGGCATGTGAAGTGCCAGCCAGGGATGCCGTACCGCCAATGCTGGGCCCAAGAACCCGGCCAATGAGGCTGTTGTCAAGGCGAATAAACTGACGGAACTTACTTCCCGAAGAGGAGGAGGAGGAGGAGGAGGAAGAAGAAGACCCGCTGGCGGGAGCGGGTGCAGGAGTGACAGTGGAGGTGGCGGCAGTCGGGCTAAGAAATCCGGCTGGAGGGCTCCCGCGATGGGTGGCTCCCGACGCCGAAGGACCCCCCGCCGAACGAGGCATGCTGCCGGGCCTGGTCGCGCCGGCCGGTCGACCTTCTTCCCCCCCGGCCGGAGGAGACAGGCCGGGGATTAACCCGCGAAGGTGCGGCAAGTCCAGGTGGGGAAATGCGGCCAAGACCTGGTCCGGGGTGTAGGCAAACCAGTCGCGCGGGCTGGACCCACGCAGGTTCGGCTGGTCGAAGGAGAGCCCGGCCGAGATGAGGAGCTCGACGCCCTTTGGTGGGGAGGCGCGACAGTGACCGGGGCAAGAGCGGGAGGTGTGTGTATGTGTATATGTGTGTGTGTGGGGGGGGGGGTTAAGATGCAAAGAATGTGTCTTTCCTGCTTCGTCAGGCAGCGCGGGTCCGGAGGGTGGGGGGCATCAAGGGTCGCACTTCGACAAAACCATGGGATGAGGCATAGTGCAGGGCCGTGTTGCCGGATTGATCTTGCAACTGTGCATTCAGATCGGGCGTCGATAGGGCCAGCCGCAGGGCCGCCGGCTGCTTGTAGATTGCGGCATAGAAAAGGCAATTGTGGCCGGAGTGATCGACCATGCACAGCGAGTGCGGGGAGAACTTCATGATCAGGTTGAAGATCTGCACACGGGCAGTGGCGGATGCCAAGAGGCGGGATGTCAGAGGCCGCGCGCGCCCGCCATCGGGCAGCAAGACAGGAGGGGCGGGGATGCCCGCAGGGGAGGGGGGCCACCGGTGCAAGGTTGGCGAGGCACGCACATCTGGAAAGCCATACATGCAAGCGAACATGAGAGGCGTGCGGAGCTGGATGTCCTTCGAGACAAACTCCGACTCGTGGCCCTGCTCCAGCAGGAGCTCCACCAGGGAGAAGTGCCCGAAGCAGATGGCATAATGAAGGGAGGACCTGTTCGGGGACCGGAAGGGCAGGGGGCCGAAGATTGGATGGACGTGCCACCAGGTGAGACGACAGCTGCAAAGGGCGGACACCCTGCAGGGAGGGCCAGGGCGGGAGGGAAGGGGGGGGGGGGGGGGGCGGCCGTACCAGCCGTTGTCGGGGTTGATATTCCGCAGGGAGGTTGGCGTGAGGGCCCCGGTCTCGGCCAGGGACCGGATCATGTCAATATCCCCATCGATAACATATTGGCGAATCTGGGCCGACGATCGGGGCCAGGATGCGTGCGTGCATGCGTGCGCATGTGTGTGTTTGTGTGGCCGTCAGGGGGGAGCATGGGCGGTGAGAGGGCGGCCGTCAGTTGGGGAGGTGCGCCATACACAGCAAGCGGAAGTCGGAGGACGCACAGTAAACGGGCTGGTGTGGAACATGGGCCGCAGGGGGCCAGAGGGGGTGGAGGTGGAGT